GCGTCCCCGCGGTGCGCGCCCGGAGCCGGCTGCCGGGACCAGCGTGGGAACGTGGCTGGCCGGCCGTGGACCCCGTTCTCATCACAATGGTCCGGCTCCTGCTGGTTTTCTTGCCGGCGATCTTTTGGGAGATGTCCCTTCTGCCCAGAAGCCCGGGCAGGAGAGCGCTGCTGGCGGGAGCCTCGTCTCAGCGCTCGGTGGCCAGAATGGACGGAGATGTCATCATTGGGGCCCTTTTCTCAGTCCACCACCAGCCTCCGGCCGAAAAGGTGCCCGAGAGGAAGTGCGGGGAGATCAGGGAGCAGTACGGCATCCAGAGGGTGGAGGCCATGTTCCACACGCTGGACAAGATCAACGCGGACCCGGTCCTGCTGCCCAACATCACCCTGGGCAGCGAGATCCGGGACTCCTGCTGGCACTCCTCCGTGGCTCTGGAGCAGAGCATCGAGTTCATCAGGGACTCTCTGATCTCCATTCGAGATGAGAAGGATGGGCTCAACCGGTGCCTGCCCGACGGGCAGCCGCTGCCCCCGGGCAGGACTAAGAAGCCCATCGCGGGCGTCATCGGCCCGGGCTCCAGCTCCGTGGCCATCCAAGTGCAGAACCTGCTGCAGCTCTTCGACATCCCGCAGATCGCCTATTCCGCCACGAGCATCGACCTGAGCGACAAAACTCTGTACAAGTACTTCCTGAGGGTTGTCCCTTCCGACACTTTGCAGGCAAGGGCGATGCTCGACATCGTGAAGCGTTACAACTGGACCTACGTCTCTGCGGTGCACACGGAAGGTAGGCGCTGCGCTCGGGAGAGGAAGGGCGGCGCGCGGCGCGCCTGGGCTCGGGGGGCCTTCCCTGGCTTGTCCTCGCTCTGGGGGTCAGGCTTTGCGCTCCTCAGCAGGGGCCCGCCCAGGCATGCCCTTGACCCCTGCTCTGGTATAGTCACAGTGTAGGAGAACTGTGTCCCCTCGTGTTTCTGAGGACAGTAGGAGCCGGAAAGATGCCAACGTCTCCACGGACAGTGTCCATCGGTAGATTTGGACTAACCTGCTTGTTAACACTCATTTTCTGGGTCTGTGTTTGGAAGGCTTGTTTGCTCAAGGTGGCCTCCCATTCTTAAGTGACTGGCTCCAGTTCTCCAAGCTCAATAGAATAATCCAGTGTGAGCAATGTGACAAAAATGTCACTGTCCCCTAAACCCTTACCGAAAGCTTCATCTTGTGTTGAGCAGCTCTAAGGGCTTCCCTGTCCTAATGTGCCCCTTCTTACCCACGCAAGAGGCACCTGTGAATGCTGGACTAATGCAGTCATCTCCCCCAGTATCCCAGATACTTACATTGTAAATTCTGGGGTGCCTGACATACAAAGGAAAAGTAAAGAATTTAAGCCATTTACTTATTTCCTTCCCACTACGTATGCTAACGTGGTCCGTATGTTTTATGAGAAATCGCACTGATGACCTCTTGAATTTGAGTTTTGGTTTCTAGTCTTTTTCTTTTAACACAATGGCTGCTAATTGGAACTTAAAGGTGGACCGATTATAAGTTACGAAGGAAAGGATAGTAGATATCAGGTTTAAAATGGCTTTCTAAAAATANTTGGACCGATTGTAAGTTACGAAGGAAAGGATAGTAGATATCAGGTTTAAAATGGCTCTCTAAAAATAAAATAGAACTACCTGAGGTTAAAACTTTGATATTTATAGCATCCTACAAGACATGAGTTCTCAAAGAACTTCTCATTATAAAGATTTTCTTTACTCTCTTCATCTCAGCCTATATAAAATTTTGGATAAAATGAGATTTTGGGGGCATTTGCTCTTAACTCCCTTGTTAGGTTTATGAAGAAAATGAGACCCTGGTTATACATTAATGTCTAGGACAATTCACATGTATATGCTGACGAATGAAGAGAATCTTGAGGGTATTGCTGCATTCATATTTCTTAATATAAAATTATTAAAAGAAATGCCACCAGCGTGACTTCATATTCTTTTAACAGTCACACAATGTGAAGTCTGGTGATAGAAGTTCACAGTCATCCCTACTGGAGTGGTTACATGGTTGTTGTTAATGGAAACTGATGCTTTACTTTATAAAGGAGGCAGAGTTTTCACGACAAACATGAAATAATGTAGAATTATACATGGTAACTTCAGACTTTGCTTTTGAAAAAACCCCCATCACTTTCTGCTGCAACATTGTGACTTCTTACAACTGACTCATGTTTCTGAATCTTGTTTTTTAATAGTGAACTGCAAATCTCTTTATCAACAAAAATCTCTAATTTTTTGAGATACAAATTTAAGTTCAGATGTTAAACCCTTACATTTTGATATTTAATGTCAATTTCTTACATTTAATGTTTAATACAGTTTCCCCTAGTGCTTAGCTTAGATCAAACATCTTGAAAGCACAGGTTAAAAATTGTTAATTATCAGCGCTAGAAAGATCTCTAAGGGAATCTAGATTGAATGTGGTTTAATTAAATATTTAATAATTCTCCCTCTATTGAACTGGGTAATTGATTATAGATATTAGAAGTGTAAATTCCTCCTTCAAGAAGAAGTAATACTTCTTCATTTTTCTTTATACAGTAGTTTTATTTTCCATATTTTATTGTAATCTCATTTTTGGGGGGTGGAGAGAGGTTGAGAAAAGACCCCCCCCTCCTTTCTTCAATCTGTTTCCCAGTTGCATCACTTTACTAAAAATAATTGCTAATAGTGGGTTGCTTTCTGACAACTAGAATTATGTTTTTGAAAAATTAATTGGACTTGTGTTTGCCAATTCTGTTCGGGAAGGGCTCCTATTAAAATTCCACCCTTGCGTTAGTTTAGATTTTGCTTCTTTTCTGCCTCTGACTGGTCTTGTGTGGCAGAGATAACATCTCCATACTATTACAGTAGTTGACTCCAGGCCAGATTGTGTTCACAGAACATACAGCTCACTTTGGTGTCTGTTTTATTACCAAGAGCTTATGTCATTTGCCTTGTCTTTTATATATGATATTCTATTTTTCTCAAAGAGAATTTTTTTTCTTCTCTTATTAGACTTAATATCTGTGGAAAGTAAATTGCTTTTATTTTCTTCTATCTGCAAAGAAGTACCACAGCCTCCTTTGTATAAGCTCCAACTGAAAATTTGTTTTTCCTGAGGATCTGCCCTCCTGCTTCTCAGGGACCCACGGTCTATTGGCCTGCAGGCACTTTCTTGCATCATTTAGTAATTTTCCTGCCTTCAGACTGATGGGGTCACCTACTGGTGACAGTTCCCTATCAAAAAACAGCTAAGACCACATACCAGTGTTGTGTCTGCCATCTGGGTACTACTCAGGAAGGAAGTCAGTTTGTCTGGTTATTAGCAATTTGGACCTTAGAAATTCTGGAACCTCTGGTGACCTTCACCTCTCCTTTCCAAATTGGCCATTCTCTAGACAATTTACCATCACAATTTCTTTTATTAGAAGTTAGCCTAGAACAGGTAATATATCAAAATAACTAAGTACACTAGTATTAGACTAGTGTACTTCATTTCTATGGTTAATTTTGATAGACTTTAACATCGTAGATGGAACACCCTATTTCATTTTATGTCAGTATTGAGCTTGGAGGTATTTTCAAACATCTTGAAAGCACAGGTTAAAAATTGTTAATTATCAGCGTTAGAAAGATCTCCAAGGGAATCTAGCTTGAATGGGGTTTAATTAAATATTTAATAATTTTCCCTCTATTGAACTAGGTAGTTGATTGTAGATATTAGCTTTTAAATTGATTATAACTTTTTAAACCAGCTAGAATCCAGTTGCTGTATTTTTTGCATACTTTAAAATCTTCTCACATGTCACTTGTGCCACACTTGTTCTCTGGTCACGACAACTGTCAGTTTACCTGACATAAAAGTTACCTGCAATAGGCTCTCCAGAAACTTTTCAGATTGGTTCCTGAGGGGAACATTGAAATAGGATCTGCAAAAGGGTGTGGGTACTGAAGCAACAGAGTTTTATCCACAAATAAAAATTGAATGCACTTTGGAGCAGGCTGCTTACCTGGAATGTGTACCTTTAGATATTCTAAGCACGCAATACAAAAATTGCCTTCTTCCGTGAAGCACATCTTGGCCAAGGACACTCTATTCCGTCCTTCTGGTAAAATGCATATTCCCTATCAAACATCAAGTTTATCATTCTGAGGAATTGTAAAAAAGGGTACTTAAAAATAAGTCTAGTTGATTAAATTCAAAGCACTGAACAAGTCCAATAAAAAATACCCTTTGAGTTTGTAGCTTCAAAAAGTTTTTTGGATTGGATACATTTTTATTTGTTTTAAGGTTTTCTTTTTTGTCTCATAGTTGCAGATGAATATTGATATGATAAGGGCTTTAGTGATGTTAGTTTCCTTTTGAAAATGTCCACTATAAGGTGTCCTTATCTTTACAATTATGTTTTCATTGTGATGCACCTTTTTTGATATTTGCTTACATCTTATATGAAGTTGGCTTTTTTGGGGGCTTCTTTTAAAAATCCAATCATTTTCTTATCANCTATGAAGTTGGCTTTTTTGGGGCTTCTTTTAAAAATCCAATCATTTTCTTATCAGAAGTTGTTTTTTTTTTTTTCTATTTGACGTAAAATATACTTAAAATGTCAATGGCATCAGAGGAAAATCCTCCTAAGTCATAAATACATCAGTTAACTATTACTTTAGCTAGTGCAATGGCATATAAGATTTTTATTTCTAATAAATACATTTCCTATCTATGTACCAGTAACTTTCTTTATAATGTTCTTAGCTTGATTCAAACCTGTTTCATGGTAGGTTATCTTAATTGTTGTAGTTTATCACAAAATAAAGAATTGGAATGTCCTGAAAGGTCNAGTAAGTTATCTTAATAAATTGTTGTAGTTTATCACAAAATAAAGAATTGGAATGTCCTGAAAGGTCATTTAGGCCAATCAACTAAAGGTGCTTAAAACACCACTATTGCATCTTTGCCAAGAAGTAGTTTCCATTTGCTCTAAGTTTCTAAATTGTGATTGGGGTTTCTAATGAGAGGGGAAGAGTACAGGACTTAAATTCAGAAGCAGAATGTCACCTGACTATTAGCCAGCTTTGCTATATAATGACCTGTCTCCCTGAAATTTTAACTAATTCTCTATCAACTACTGGGAGTCATTCCTCTTCTGTGTGATATTTGCATCAGTGAATCCCCTCGCCTTTATGCCATGCCTCACCAGTTCTTTCACCTCTGTATTTCAGTTTTTAGTTTTCTCATCATAGATAACTGAAGTAGATCTTAGATAAATGATTATCCAGAAGTTCTTTTTAAAATATATGCTGCTACTAGGCCATATCTCCTTTTTATGTTTGAGCAGTTACTATTATTTTATCTATGAGGAGAACTTTGTTTTTTTGTTTCCTTTTAAATGTAAACTTATTAGCTTAAATATACCTTATCAATTAAGTTCTTGGGTTTTGATTATTTAATTCACTTTAGCATTCCAGCTTTGTGTTCTCTGGATCTAATTACATACATTAAAACTGAGTAAAAGAAGGTCAGGTATATAGTCCCATAGCCCAGCACCAGCAGACTACTCCCTGGCTAGCTCTGGCGGTCACTCAGCCCTCTGTGAATTCCCTTGCCAGTATGGTTTCCCATTACCCACTGTACCTCTTTCTAGATAAATAGATAAATATAAGTAGTTAAAATGAAAAGCCATCACAATAGATATTCAACTCTAATTGAAAATTTACTATACCAAACATGGTATAAAAGAAATTTGAAAACTAGGTC